CTCTTGGTGTGGTCACTATCAGTATTGTGAATTTACTCGTCCCATCTTCTTCAAGACGGGATGCTGATGTGGCATTTCTCGGCATGGATGAATTTAGTAATTCCTATGGTGGCACCGAAGAAGCCAACTATGGGAAACTCATTATGTTTTCTATTGATGCGGATTTTGGTTCATGGACTGAACCAGTTCTGAACAAGGATTCCGAACTCGGACGCGGTGGATTCGGATCGGTTTATCGGACTGAACTAAAAGATGGAATGTGTGTGGCCATAAAGAAACTAAACGTGTCGAGCTTAATCAAGTGTCAAGAAGACTTCGAGAGGGAAGTCAAAACCCTTGGAAAAATCAAGCACCCGAACCTGGTGGTTATCGAAGGCTACTATTGGACGCCTACCCTGCAACTCATAATCAACGAATATGTAAGTGGAGGAAGCCTTTATAAACATCTTCACGAGGTAAACCCCGAAGGCGTACTTTCTTGGATGCAAAGGCTCAAAATTATTTTGGGTGTGGCCAAAGGGTTAGCCCACTTGCACGGGATGAACATGATTCACTATGACATTAAGTCTACCAATGTTCTTATAGATAGGTTGGGAGATCCAAAGCTAGGGGACTTTGGGTTGGCTAGGCTGTTGCCCGTGGTGGACCGATATACCTTAAGCAGCAAGGTTCAGAGTGCATTGGGGTATATGGGACCCGAGTTTGGGTGCCAAACGGTGAGAATAACCGAAAAGTGCGACGTGTATGGATTTGGGGTCTTAATATTGGAAGTGGTGAGTGGGAAGAAGCCGGTGGAGTACATGGAGGACGACGTGATAGTATTGTGTGATTATGTGAAGGGAGCTTTGGAGCAGGGTAAAGTGGAGGAGTGTGTTGATAAGAGGTTGGAAGGCGTGTTTGCCATGGAGGAGGCGGTTCCGGTCATAAAACTTGGACTCATTTGTGCATCTCAAGTACCTTCAAATAGGCCAGACATGGAAGAAGTTATCCGAATCCTGGAACTCATACAGTGTTCTTCTACTGAAAGCCGAGACGTTGATCTGGAATGCATTTAAGGGGTCATTTGTCTGTTAAACAAGATTACAATAGGAGTTTTTCAGTGAAGAGTCGTCCGTTTTTTTTTTGTTTTTTTTTTGTTTCGTGTATTTCTATAATTCAAGTGATTGGTTGCTCTTCACTGGCTGAAACTCCCGGAGGCTTTTTGGAATTTTATTTAGTGAAAAGAAAATATTCATTCAGATGATTGGAGCCATGGAAAGTGTTTATTGTTCCATTGTCTAGCATTTGTTGTTTGCAAATATTCTATTCAGTACAGACGTGTTAGTTTCTAAATCCTTATATAAATATATAATGTAATGATTAATTAATGAAGTGAGATTTTGAAAAAAGCTGGACTTGGCTTTGCATAATAAGGCTATGCAATTATGCTTCTTGCTTTCTGCTTTTCCTCTTATCTTTTTTCGGAACAATTGCTTAGAAACCAAACCTGTTAAGTGTAAACATTACGCATCCACGGAGCCTCTTTAACGATTCCCTTCTGATGTATCAAAAAATAGCCTCTTTTGTTTGGATCAATGCTTGATCATGAGTGTACCTAAAATTAATTTGTTTTGAAGCATTACTAGTTTTAGCCCTTTAATTTACTATAAACTTATGTCGGTTTTACCCTCCCGATATTTTTCAAATTTCATCTTGTTTATATGAAAACAATTTTTTATGATAATTTTATATTCTTTAATTCCCGTCTCAGTTAGTATTTGAGTTTCATCAACTTCTATCTAGCTCCATACATTTTTAAGTTTCCAAACACTTAAAAAGTGTTTATCAGCTATTTGTTCAAGAAAATTGAAATGAATGCTTTAAACTGTTTTCACTTTTCCTATTATACAACGACCACTGTTTTTAACAAACAATATTAAGTTTTACTTTTTCAAAAACATTTGTTTGCCCAACGCAATCAAATTTCAATATTAAATATTTTCTATAAAACCACTTAAAATCATTTTTTTTAAATTAAAGCAATCACAAACACTTCTTGAACTCATTTTTTCAAACATAACTTTTACAACATTGTGAAGTTAGTTCTCATGTTCAAATCTAATCCAAGTCAAAATGGACATTGCTGTTGAATAGAATATGAATATGTTAGAGTGATTAGAAAATTTTGAAAAACATGTAAGTAAAATATAAAGGAAATTATCAAAATAGGAGTGCAACATGTCGAGACCGTTTGACAACTCTCATTTTCGGCTTATCAGGCTTATCAACCAACTTTTTTACCAAACACGTAAATTTTGCTTTCGCGCGCTGAATTATGTAATAAGCCGAAAAAGTAAGGTTGGAGTTACTTTTCTGGCTGTATTGGCTGAAGTTACTATAGATGACCATTTTAGCTATTTTTACATATAATTTTTTCTTTATTTTATGAATAAAATATAGTTTAAAAATATTTTTTTCTTGTATCAGCAGAATCAGCCAATGCAGCCACTTCAGCCAGAATTTCATAAATTTCAGCAGAATCAGTCAGAACAACCGATTTTCGTACTCCCAAACAGACTAGTCATATTTTTTCAAATAATATAGTACCATTTTTATTCCCGATATAAGCGATTGACATTCGCTCTTACTACATAGATAGTATGAGTTTTTTTTATGATTTTACTTTTTTTTTGATAGGAATGCATAGCTTTCATTTGGGAATAAAACAGGAGTAGTTCTGCTTTGAATTATTTTGATGTATTATTCTTTTTTGAACAATTTCTTCAAAATACACTCCGTATCAAGTAGTTTGAAAAATATGAAGCTATTCCAAAAAATGGAATTAAACATTCTGACGAAGTTTCTTTTATATATTTAAAAAATTAAAAAATTAAAGTTTTTTTTTCAAAACACTCTAACCTACGTTGTATTTAATTATACGGAAAAGTATAATATTCAAAAAAAAAATACGGAGTAGTATATAGTACCTGCTCAATATATATACGCATACCTAGCTATCCAGACCTATTTTAAACTATATATACAAAGACCTATTTTAAACTACTCCTCTTCCAAGTTTGACTTGCTCGCAAATTTAGAAAGTGAGAATAAAGTGGAAATGTATGATTGTAGTTGTGTAAGAAAAAGGTAAATGAATGTGAACCACATATTTTTTCGGAAGTTGAAAGAATTAATTGGGACGACCCAAACAGGAAATTTGGAAGAAATGACCGGGACGGAGGGAGTATTTAATGTCACTTTCATAATATTTTCGGAGATTTAGACTTTGCATCCAAATTTGGGGAGAAATAGACTTAGCACCCATTTTCAAAAAATTAATATAATGTGTGCACAGTTATTCAGTTAAAATCGTAAAAAATATGGATTGCATAGTTAAATTTCCTCAACATGCTCAAATTTGAGAAATAAAATAAAAAAGTATTATATTCGGATTTTCAGTATTTCTAAATTATTTTTCTTAGTTTACATAACTTAAAAGAAAAAATAGAATGCCGTAACCTTAGAATGTTATTGCCTTTTCATAATAATTAACTTTTCTGAGAATTTGTTTCTAACTTTTCAGAAATAGGTTTTATATTCTTTAAACTTCATGATATTTCTATTATTCTATACTTCATTAAAAATTTACTTAATTAAATTTTCAAAACTTGTGGATTTGCTTAATCTTAAGTGATCGACTACGAAGTATTTTGATATATCATTAAACTAAAAAAATCACCAAAACCTTTCTGAAATATCGATTACATTCTCAAAAAAATAATGCTTATGAATTTGTAAAAGTATTCTAAGCTAAATGTATTGTAAAGTTCTATTAGTTGCTTCACATTTAAAATTTCCAAAAATCAATTAAAATTATTAAAATAAAAAATTACTCTATCGGTTAAATACATAAATAATCTGAAATACATTAGTTTAGAAGTGATATAACTTTTACTGAGTACTACTCCGTAATTAAAAGAGTAATAATTTTTTTAAGAAAGATACGAATAAGATTAATTTTAGTTCAATAATACGGAGTACATCATCATTTTCATTTATGATGATGTAGGTGGGAGCCTTTGCGACATTGGGGTAAATAAAAATGAAATACGGAGTACAACATAGAGCCAGTTTGGTAGTCCAGTTTTCCGGCTTATCAGACTTATCAACCAACTTTTTCACTAAACGTGTGATTTTTCATTTCGCGTGCTGAATTGCGTGATAGTAAGAAAAATTAAGATTGAAGTTACTTTTCTGACTGTATTGACTGAAGTTACTGTAGAGGACCATTTTAACTATTTTTACATATAATTTTTTCTTTAATTTATTAATAAAATACTACATATATTTTAAATATAATTTTTTAATAAATGAACCGACCCATTCAATCATTTTATCCATAATTTCATAAATACTGCAGAATTACCTATTCAACCCATATTACCAAATTACCTCATAATGTAACTCAAAGGATTCCACTTTACAAGTCACTCGTGCAAGATAAGCAATTATGACTATTTATTTATGAGGCACCTAATTCACTAATGGTTTTACCACTACTTTTACACCTACCATAGAAATGACCCTAGTAAAACTGACCAATATTTATTTAATGTCATCGTTTATGAGGTTTGACCGATGATAAATCCAATTTCACCTTACCAATTTGTTAATTAGAATTAGAAATTAAAATTTGTGTATCCATAAATTACATCTAAGCTTTACAATGTCTCAAAAATTGAAATTATATAAATATAATAAAATTAGATGCATAAAATTAAAGATGTAATAAGTATTTTTAATAGTGATTGCTTCAGCTACACATCTATAAGGCTTCTATGAATTTCTTTGTTGCACTCAGTAAGTTGACCCACTTTAATTGAGTCAGGTTCTAAAAGTTAAATACATTCTTGAGAGATGAGACTCCAACTTATCAGACAATGGAAGGACACCTCAACAATAAGGTTGGTGTAGTGATCACCAATAATAATGCTTATATATATGAAATCTGCTTTATTACTGGATTTATAAGTTTTATTATGTTCATCTTTGAGTGGGGGACCTAATGAATAAAGTTTTGTCATGTGAAATACTTTAGTCTTTAGACCCATGCACCTCTCTCAAACTTGACAAACTTGCCTAAGACGGTTTCCTTTTTTATATGTGCTCGTTTGTCTTTAGAAAAATAGTTCTCACCTTCCTTTTTGATATTTTCCAAAAAATTATTCTCATTTTCCTTTTTTCGAAAGTTTTTTATGAGTACCATTCATTTATCTTTTTCTTACTCAACCACTTTATTCTTACTTTCTTAAACTACGATCTAAATAAAAATGGAAATTATTTTATGGAACATAGAGAGTGTTTAAAAGGAAAAATTTCCGAATAGGAGTAAAAATATTTTGAAATTCTTAAATATGAATAGTATGTTTTTATTACCTAAATAGAAGTAATTACTGTTCATTTTGAAAACTGCCGTCAAATTAATGACCAGAAATGTCAAAACATGGGAGTGATAAAAATAAGTGGTCTATTTTGAAATTCACAAACATTTTGTCTCCTATTTAGAATTATTTTGTTATTTCAAAAGTTGAAAAGGTTAATTAATTACTTCTTTTGGCCTAGCAATATTGTGGACTGCTCTCTCTCTAGGGTTACCCACCGGTAATGCCTAGGATATACCGCCGCCGGTTTCTCACCACGCTTGCGCCGAGAGAACCGAGTGAAGCGAGACTCCTGTTGCCGAGCTTCGTTCTCGAAGCATCGGTGCTCTACCTCTTGGGCTTTGATTACGTCTTCGAGTCGGTTAGGACGTTTGGGAGCGGGCAAGCTTTGGATCGCTTCGGGAGTAGATTCGGCCACCGTGTTTACCAAGAGAAAGAGGGAGAAGGGGCGTCTGTATGGAAAGCGTGGTAGACAAGTACAGACAATTGGCTTTGGCGGAGGAGGAGGAAGACATGGATCTCGACGATACGGAGGCGGGCAAGGAGCTGAAGGAGGAGATTAGGCCGGGTTTCCCAGTGGTCGGGGTGCTGCTGACGGACCGGAAGGTCCGATTCCCGGCGATCAAGGAGATGTTATCGTCGCTATGGAGACTGAGTAAAGGCCTATCAGTCAAAGAAGTCGGGGAGAAAAGGTATCTATTTACTTTTTATCATCGTTTAGATATGAATCGGGTTCTAGATGGAGGACCATGGCAATTTGAGAAAAGTTTATTGTTATTAAAAGAGGTTAAATCTGATGATATTTCTCACAAAATTGTCCTGAATGAGACTGACTTCTGGGTCCAGGTTCATAATGTGCCTTATAGTATGGTTAATTTAGGTACGGCCCGGAGAGTTGGAAATTTTACAGGAAGGTTTATAAAATACGATGATAACCAGAATAGTGAAAAGTGAGAGGCCTATATGAGAATACGAGTGTGTATGAATGTGGAAAAAGTACTGAAAAGAGGTACCAATTTGAAGAAGGATGGCAAAAGTTACTTGAACTACGATGGAAAACTGCCAAACTTCTGTTTTATCTTTGAATTAGGTGGAAAAAGAAGGATGGAAAAGAGATACCAATATAGGTAGATTTTAAATATGAGAAACTGCCAAACTTCTGTTTTATCTTTGAATTAATTGGACACTCAGACAAATTCTGCCACTTGAACTACGAAGAAGATATTGTTTTGGAAAAAAAGTTTGGAGTTCATCTTAGAGCAGGTGGTGGAGGGAAGACAATCCATACAGGAGGAAACCAATGGTTGCTGGAGGGTTCTTCGAGCTCTGGCAGGGACAATAGGTACGGGGAGGGGGCTAAATTAGAGGATAGGATGAGAGTCGGGAGAAAAGATTCGGGGGCTGAGTTAGAACAGAGTATAACAAAGGGTGCAGGAGGTGAGAATAAAGAAGAAGTAACAGGAGAACAGAAGCGCATGAGGCTATGGGAGACATCGGGAGATGACCTGCAAGGGAAGGAAAGTATGGCACTGGATGGGACAAAAAACGGGGAGGAGGCGGGCTTCGAGCAGTAGGCCCGCCTAAGAAGATTAAGAGCCAGAAGACAAGAATTTTGATGAGGGTGCAGAGCAAGCAGATCGGGAGGCAGACATTCATTTTTTATTTTAGCTTTTATTACTTTTCGGACTGTTCCGTTTGTTTTTTATTTTGGTTAGCTGTTGTTTTTCCTGTTTGTAAGACATTGGATTTAGATGTGGGTGACAGCGGAATTGGGGTAACCGTTTTTGGCTCATTTGTGCCCATTAATGGATCATCGAGTTATATTGCTTCAGATGAGGTGATTAACTCTAAGTCTGGTTCGCAAGACAACGGTTGTCAGGATTCTATTTGTCGGACTACCCATCATCTAAATGTTGAGATATCAATTTAAACCAAATTCTTCCAAAAAAAATTACTTCTTTTGGCCTAAACCATGAGTCCTTAGCTTTTTGTAATTATCACAAGATTTGATATATAACCTAAACGTAACTCTCCATATCGTATTTAACTTAGTACGGACTACGGAGTACGGAGTGTAATTAACCAAGATTTACACATTTCGAAATGATACGAAAAAATATATTGAATGGCATACCAAACCATGCTTAAATAAAGGGATTGATACAGAATTGATACAGATTGATCAATAATTTCGTGTCAAATAGCTCGTTAAATATGTAGTATGTAAAAGTGTTAACGGGTACATATGTGGTTTGTGATAGATAGACACATAAAATTAAAATATGTAATTTTTTCTTTTTGTTTCCATGGTATATTGTTTTTAACTATTTTCCATCACAATGTCAAGTACTTCCTCCGTTTTTTTTAAGTGCAATATTGAACTTTTTTCACTATTCACATGTCTACTTTGACTCTATTTTATTATTTAATTTATTACAAATTAAATTTGGGAAAAAATATTTTTAAATTCCTCTCATTTTAAAGTTTCAAAATATATATTTTTAAGCTTATTTACTAATAAGGTATGAAAGATATTAATGATCAAACTTGTGCGTTGGCAAAGTGGACTGTTGCATTTAAAAAAGAATGGAGGAAGTATATAGAATCTCGATCTCTCCCATCATGTGACGTATGCAACAACGTCAACATTTTGAGATTAGAAACATTCTAATACATTTCTTCAAATGTAATTGCCACTCTTTTGAGTTTGTCGACTCATTCATTCCTAAGAAGAACTTTATTACTTCTATTGTCTTCTTAAAGCTAAACGAGTCTTTTTATATTAAAAAGAAGACTGTACTTTACGCATACTCTATTACTCCGTATTATTTACAACATCTCTAGAAAATGATGGTGATGACGATAACATGTATTATAAATTGTGATTAGTTTGATCGAAGTGGATTAAATTTCCCATTCACATTCATTGCGTTTCACTTTAACATGACAAGATATCAAGATGAAGTGGTCTATTATTTTATGTTGGTACGAGTAGAAAAGATTAAATTTCTCATTAACTTTCACTATGGCTCACTTTAACATGACAAAATGATGGAATTCGTGTATTAGTTTTTGCTTTTAATTTTAGATCGTTTTTAGTTTTTTCAGTTTGTTTAACAGTTTTTAGTCTTTTTGAAGGTCAATAAAATCAAACTGAACTTGCTTATGAGAGAGAGCTCATTGCTCTGATATTTGTAGTGAAAACTTGGAGCTCCTATTTCCTAATAGACATTCAAAATTCCCCAGTGGGTGGGAATTCTGCTAGAGACATTACCCTACACATATAAGGTTCAGTCACTGTTTTAATGGAAAGGATGACAAAAAAATCAGCAACACATTCAAAATTGTGATGTCTACCTGAAATGCAAGTATGATAATTCTAAGTATCTCGTACTCTTGCAACCATTACCATTGCCTCAGACTATTTGGTCATGTGTTTCATTCGATTTCGTAGAAGGTTTACATATTTCTAGTAGGATGATTTTCATATTTGTTGTAGTTGATAGGTTGAGTGAGGTAATAATTTCATAGTCTGAGTTCATGCATACATGGACATTGTATAAAAATTAGATGAGTTTCCTTATTCTATCATCAATGAGAGAGATTCTATATTTCTTAGTGATTTTCGAAAGGAACTATTCAGGACACAAGGAGTTGACTTATCAAGGCCAACAACCTACCATCCTCAAACTGTTTCAGTCAAACAGATGGCCTGAGATGTATGTGCCATGATAATCCTCATATATGGAGTAAATGATTACCATTGGCTTAATGGTGGTATATTACTAACCATCATTAAACAAATAATACAACTCCTTATGAAGTTTTTATATGGTCAAGCACCACCTCTACAATTACCTTATTTGCTTGGCTCTTCACCTAATGAGGCAGTGGACAGAATTCTCCAACAGAGAGAACAAGTCATGAAGATGCTACAATTTCATCTGCTGAAAGTTCAGAACAGTATGAAACAACAAGTAGAACAAATAAAAGTGAAAGGGAAATCAACATTGGATGTTGGGTATATTTGAAGGTGCAATCTTATAAACAAATGTTGGTACAGCAGCGTAGCAATGAGACGTTGAGAACGAAATATTATGATCCCTTCCAGATAAATGATATAATGGGAGAAGAGGCCAACAAATTGAACCTTCCATCTTATGCTCACATTATGTGAGCATAAGTAGTCACATCCACCCAGTATTTCATCTTTCTCAATCAAGGAAATGTCATGATTCATCGATATCAGTAGGATTTTTACCTGCATTATTTCATGATTTTGCATACCATTAATGTTGGTCCATTCAATGGTGAAGTCCTCTTTAACATAATGACTTCATTTGTGAAATCACCTAATTATTTCCTTAAAAGAAATAATAGTCGTATGAAGCCCTGTAACAAAATTGCCAACTACTACATATTAAGTGTATAACTATAAGTGCTCACATCAAGCTAATTTTTTCAAAAGCTTTTGATATAAAGCATGTAAAAAAATAGCCACGAAGTAGTAGTTACTATAATGATAAAAAAAAATCAACACAAAAGGTAAAAAACTGGTTCTTGGTATTCCACAAGAACATATACCTTATGATACAGCAAACTTCTGTGGTAGAATCAATCGATCCCATAAGAAATAAATTACAAGATTTTAGGCTCCTTTGGAAATTGTATGATTTGTATGTGTTTCTTGGTTTCAAAAATTCCTTCTTGCTTCACTCACTAGTCATCCCAGTCGTTATCCCATCCATCTTTCTTTGCAGATCGGGCAGTTAGACCAGTGGCAGAAATGTTCCCCAGACGGTGGTGCGGATTGACCGCATTGTCCTCATCCCAATCATCATCATCCCAAACCTGATCCCAGCCTTCTGCAGTGTTATCCACGTGTATGACAGCAGAAGATTCCGGTAACCCCATTTCAAGTTCATGATAAGGAACTCCTCCACTGCCGGGCTGTTTCTTTTTTCTTAACTTGCAGGCAGCCCATGTCCCGCCAAAAACTAGTGCCACCAGAAACAGGAAGTAGGCACCATAGACGGGAGTCACTTGTTTTGAGTATAGAGACAACTGCTGGACAAGGTTGCCCACAGGCGCGACAGAATGACCCAACCCAAGAAGCTCACATCTACCACTAATGCCTGTATCAACTACTACTGTTTTGGATCTTTGGCTCAAAGTTGATGATATATTTACCTATAGAAGAAGCAGGACTGTATAAGTAAAGAATAAATGCGCACACTTGATAAAACAAAGGAAACTAACTCATAGAGATATACAAATAGCTGAGAAAACCAACAAGGATTTGAAGTCACAGGATCTATGCCTTCAATTCTCAAGGGAAGCTCCAATCATATTTATGTTCGGGAAGTGAAGCATTATTTCCTTAACCCCACCTATATTGGAGATGGTGGCAATGTGGCATGGTTCGAATGGAATGTGTTGAGAATCCCACATTTATTGTTTACTGAGTTTAAGTTTAATAATAGTATATGCTACGTGATCGTGAGGTAATTGAAGATTACTCTGAGGTTAGTTAGGCCCAATTTAACAAAATATATATTTGGAAAACATAGCCTAAGTTTTTAAAGCAAAAGGCGTGCCAAAGCAATATAGTATAGCTTCTCTTTGAAACACAAACCAAAGGTTCATTTTTTCAAAATGCACCATGAAATGAAAAATTTTCTTGTTACTTTTTCCAAATAAAATAAACTAAGTCTAAAAAGTTCCTAGAATAAAAAATGTGAGATCATTTAGCAGTCCTTACTTTTCTGCCAGTTGTACCATAACTAGTGTCCTACTTCTTACGATTCTACAAATTCATGTACTCCCCCGTCCCAAAGTGTTCTTCTCCTTTGTTTTCTACGTAGTTTTTAGACAGAAAATAATGTGATTGTGATTTGTTTAGAAACAAAGAATCAATATAAACAGAACAATACTTTCACGATAAGAAATTAACTTTTAGGGACAATTCAAAGAGGAGAGTGGGAGGATTAGAGGAACATTTTGAGACATAGGGAATATGTCTTTTTGGGGATTATCCGCCATTGTTCTAAATCTCTCTTCTATACTATTCACACATGTCAACATGATATCAACTTTATCAAGAGCCCGATTTTTCCTTCCATAGATATCCAAAGCATCTTCAAATTCTATATCAATGATATTATCTTGAATCATTTTACCATCTATTGCAAGAGCAAAGTGTTCATTAACTTGTTTTGATTTGGTGATTTATAATTTAATAACAAATTAATCAAAATAACAACAGAAAAAGGTTGCATAGGAAGAGAACCACATATTAATATAAAGGCAAATTGCCCTAAATAGGAGTAAACAACGTTTTGGAATTCCAAAATAGGACTGCTATGTTTTTCTTCTCAAAATAGGAGTCATTACTGTCATGATTGAAAAATAATGTCATGTTAATGTGTAGTATTGCAACTATTTTGGAAGTAATGACTTCAAGATGACATTAAAATACTGCCATGTTACTCCAATTTCGGGAAGAAAAACATAACAATCATATTTTGGAATTCCAAAACCCGTTTACTCCTATTTCGAGAATTTCCCTAATATAAATGCATACCCATATTGTTTGGTTTACATTGACTGTGGCAGAATCTTTTCCTGCTGATGTCAGGGTATATATTTTCACTTCCAGCCTGCTATATCCTTCATTCTGAAGAACAAGGAATGGTTCTTTTGACCCTGCAACCAGATAGAAGGTGAAAGACTTATTTAATGTAGGAAAAAGTAGAAATTTTGAGCGCTTGAACGTCATTAAAACTTGAGTGTTTTAAAAATACATTTACTTAAAGATAAGTCCAGGCTACTGTTGAAAACACGAAAGGGATGAAGAACAAACTCAAAAAGAAAATGCAAAGGATGAAATTGGTTAAGACTTAAGACTTAAGAGTAGAACATTAAAATATTAAATGGAGATGGATGATTTTATAAGACCTAAGATTAGACTAGTTAATTGATTCAATTCCATCTAAGTGTGGTTTGACCCATGAACATTATTACGGCATGTCTGTGTGACCCCCCAACCCAATAATGAACTCAATCTAGATTCATTGAGCTTGTTGGGCATATAGTATGAAAGTCAAGACAATCATCACCAACCATTTAGTAGTCTCTTAAGATATAAACTGAGACCAAGGGGTAGAGATACTACTTGGGACCATTTGGGGGATCGACAATATCGAACTGTTGAATTGGATGCACAATCATAAGATCATATTTCATATCCAAATAAATTGATCTAAATGTGAATCAGTGAATGCCTCTCAACTTCAGCACATATATAGATTTAAAAATTTTGTAGTCACTGCTAATTCAATTAGTATGCATTTATTTTACTGCTAATTCCTACCAAACTATCAACCCCTGCTCACTATTTCCTCCAGCAATCACCGCCCTCGACTTCCCCCAGAAACCGCTGTCAGCCGGGAAGTCACCTGAAAAATTCACTGAAAACGTTTCTACTTTTTCATTTTTTTTTCTCCACTTCATGACGCTTTATGTGTAACTTCTTTCAACATAATCCTATTGTTATCCCAATGATCCTAATACGGTCCCGATACAATCATGCTAAAGCATGGTTGTCGATGGCGATATTTGGCGCAATCGCCATATGACGACAAAACCCTCCACCGCCATGAAAAGTCCTCCTGTCGACGACCATACACATGGCGGCGCCATATTGGCACCATCACCATCGCCATGGTATGTGCGCCATAATATTAAACAGAACCTAACATGTTTACTTTGTTATTTTTGGGCTTTGGCCTTGATAAATATTTAAATAATCTGCCAGTCCATAATATTACTAAAAGCCTAATAAGAAATTAATACGCCAGACCATCATATTGACAAATACCCTAATAAAAAGTAAATAAAAAACTAACACAAAGTCAGAGAAAGCTGCTGAACTAACATAAAAGCTGGAGTCTCATAGCTGTGCAACAGGGAACGACTAAACGGAACTCCTTCGAGATGATCAAGAGTGTGATAATTGATGATGATTATGGAGCTCCTTGGAGATGATCAAGAGTGTGATAATTGATGATGATTATGGCATAATCATCAAACAAAAACAAATTGACATATTTTCAAGGACATGATTTTTTTTTAGAATATTATGTTTTTTGGAACTATTTTAAACTATTTAAACTTCACATGTTTTGGTTAGAATGTTGATATTCAACTTTTTTATCATGTTTTGGTGGTTGAGTGATAGAAATATAGTGTCTATAGTTCATATTTTTATAGTTCATATTTATAGTTATTTTTTGCCATGTGGAGACGCCATAAATCCATGAGAAAATGCCTTGGCACCATGGATGTCACCATACGCCATGACAACTATGTACTAAAGTGCCAATCCTAAAGCAATCCTGCTCATTTTCAAGGATTCATCCAATTTCTAATCAAATGGAAGCCTCAGCAGTTTTAATATTAGAAATTTAGGGGTCCTGGAAAACATTATGTTTCAAACTATTTGGAATGGGAAGAGAATAGCTTTTCCCATTCTAGTATATAATGAAACTTTGCAAATACTGATAGTATAAATAATCATCCTACACATTCATTTAAGAACTTCAAAGATCAATATATTGAGGTCCCATTTACTTCAGTTTTCTTTTGATTTATATTCTCTTTTCCAAGTAAAACATTTTTTTCTTAGCAATAGAAAGGAAAAAAAATCTCTGATGTAAATTTGCAGAAGAAAGAAAATATCATGTACCCGTAGTACCATTTTTTGGCATTTGTATGCAGGCGAGCAATGTATTCTTAATGTGGCATTCTTGTAATGCCCCTTCACAACTCTCATTACCCTTGACCTCGGCTGCCATTGTGACATTCTCTACTTTCCCTTTCTCTTCATGGCTCTTCGATTTCGAAGGTGGTATAGCATCTGTTGTGGTATTGTCACCCTTCAAATACACTTTACTCAAGTCTTCACTCCCCTGAGTCTCTTTAGGCTTTCCTTTTTCAATTCCTGAACTCCCATTTAATCCCTTGAGGCTTATTGTTTCATTCACTTGCGAACCCTAAAAAATTGATTGCATAGTTAACTTGAATCAATGTTCAATTAAATGATCTCAAAAACAAGATACCTGTTCTGGGGCAGTGGAATAACTGTTTGCTGTTGAATTAGAGGCGTTTGAAGAGCTTAAAAGGATTAACAGTGAGAAAGTCAGCCCAAAAATTCTGCCTTTCTTGCCCATTCCAACTGCCGGGAAAAATATCAAGCTTGGATTCCAATCATTCTTCCTCTAAAAACCTTTAAAAACCGAACTTCGAACCACGAAATGAATTTGATGGAAAATAATCACAAATCGGGAGGATCTAGTAAACGCCCCAACTAACCAAGCTCATAGAAAAAATACAAAAAAAATGGTAAATTTTTTAAAAATTGAAGCTTTAAAAAGAAAAGTTAGACACAACCAGGCCGTAGGTTTAACGCATCGACAAGAAAGAAAGAACCTGAAAGTCTGAAACCAGAAAACAGCAATGGCTGAAATTATTTGCAAGTAGTACAGAGCAATTATCTAAAAGAATTGGAAAAATTGAAAATAATAATACCAATTATTATCGGTACGCTAAAATCTCAATTATTGATTATTTTTGTATAATCCCAACTATATGGACCGTCCATCAATAATGTTCCATGACCACATATTATCCGCTCCAACAAGTGAATTTTTAATAGAAATTAAGCGTAAAAATTAAAATTTGGGATTATTTATATGGATTACCTGCTATATCTTTTTAGAAAATATAGGAATTTATTTACAGTCGGTCAGGTACCGTCAGTAGTTGAGATTATTATAATCAATTTTTCCAAGAATGTTTGGGCATGTAAACAACTTTAAACGAAATTTACGGAAAAGGGTGAGAGAGGTCCTCGAACTTACATAAAAAAGTCAAATAAATTCTTATATAAGAAGCTCTGTCCGGCCGTCTCCATTTGGGATGTTTCCCGGTGGAATTTTTTGATGAATTTTTTTGAGCATCTTATTCATTAAGTCTAATTTACTCATACCAAATTTCAGCTAAAAATTTAATCGGAAAGACATTCAAATGAGTTCTTGAAGATAACCGCGCAGTTATCTTCAAGAATTCATTTGAATGTCTTCACGATTAAATTTTTAGCTGAAATTTGGTATGAGTAAATTAGACTTAATGAATAAGATGCTCAAAAAATTTCATCAAAAAATTCCACCGGAAACTGCCTCAAATGGCAACGGCCGGACATATCCTCCTAAATAAGGATTTATTTGACCTTTTTATGTAAGTTCGTGGACCTATCTGACCCTTTTCCTGTGAATATTATGTCAGTTGTTTGTGTAAATAAAATATAGCCTATTCTGAAACATAAAAAGGTGAAATAAAAATTGCTTACAAATGGAAACAGCTGATATCTACCCCTTAGTAGGCATATCACCATAGTGTTACCCTACCCTACCCCTGCCACTATCTACCTCTACCCTACCCTGACCTACCCCTAGACCTGACCCCACCCCATATACCCCTAACCCCCCAACACTAACTTGTAAGTGTACCCTTACCCCTAACCCTACCCCGCCTCCACCCTACCCAGACCCTATACCCCACTCACCCCCTTAAACCATACCTCGCACATGCACCCTTACCCTACCCCTATACGTGGTAGTGGTTAGGGGATAGGGCATGGAACACGTATGGGGTGGTGTCCACATATTATAATATATACCGCTTTACATGGATGTTTGTGTGCCTATATATGTATATAGTTATTTTGGAAATTTTAATGTGAAACGGCAATTTAAATCTTGTGAAGTAAACATGAGCTTATATGACTGCTTATTTTATGTGTCGTTTATTAACACAAGTCTTAATAAGCACCGTTTAATAACCTGTGAAATAAACGTGTTCTAGGTGTTTAATGTCTCAAAGAATACTCGCGTACAATTTTGTTTCTCGAGTGAAAATTTGCTATTCGTTTGAAATATCAAAATAAAAGCTATTAGTTTAACTTCTCCTGATTATATATGCTACATACCTATTTAACTGGCCCTTACCTAAATAATACGTGAACATAATTATTTAAATACGACTAAAACTCAAATCTTTTACAAATAGGACTAAACATTAATCTTTTCCTCTTAATACTCCTAATTTAATTAATTAATTGTCCCTAGTTCCATTGGGTAATTGAGTCAGTCCATCAGTGGCGGCGATGAAACTTCAGTGAGTCTCCGCGGCATCAAATTGGTCCATGAGTCATTATGAAAAAAACCCCAGATTCCGACGGCTGTCGGCCTCCGATTTAAAAGTCCAATTTAAAACAACGCAGACATATTGTAGACTTAGAGTATGCATTACTCTTATTTAGGTAATTCACTCTTTTTAAACGATTGTTAAAAAAAATTCCAGTAACACCAGAAAAAGGCTAAAAAAAATATTTTACCCTTTTTTCGCCACCAACTAGGAATAAATTTGGGAATTTTTCTGAAATAGGAGTAAAAATGTTTGAGAATTTCAAAATAAGCTTGTCATATTTTATTCTCAAAATAAGAGTAATTATTGTCAAACTTGAAAAATAGTGTCATTTTTAAAGTTTGGTATCGCCAAAACATGACATTAATTACTCCTATTTTGAAAATAAAATCATAATAGTACTATTTTGAAATATACAAACGTTTTAATCCTATTTAGGGTAATGTCTCAATAAATTACAAGGGGAAGATATAATCATATAAGAGGAATATTAAAAGCAAAATGGAAGAAAAGAATGTTGAAAAAAATAAAACAACATAGATATAAGTATAAAAAAGCTAACCATTTGTAAGAACTTTAGAAACATCATTAATTTTCAGTTTTCATAAATTAATAAAATATTTATAACATAGAAAAATATTTTTAAAAAAATGATTTTTTTTAAAACAGAAAAAAAATAAACGTAAAAAAAACACCGCCGCCTCTACCACCCCAGCACCACCACCTTCTGTCACCAGAAAAAATGCCAACATGCATTAGTAATACTATATCGATGATAGTTTCAATGAAAATTTTGACATTATCAAAGAGTAATGTGTCATTTTTGGCATTTTTCACTAACTTATTTTTCTTTAAATTTTTATTTTATAAATATTTTATTAATTTTTTATTATTTTTATACAATTTTTATTATTTTTTACGATTTTAAGGTATAAAATTAATGTTTAGACCTTTTTGTGAATAATTTAGGGCCTGAGTCCTTCTTTCAATATTTTATTCCCATCCAAACACCAAAGTTTAGGTTTCAATTGTGTATTCCTTATGTCCCAAATGGATTGTTTTTGTTGATCAATGTGAAAGTATTTTTTGAAAGGAGACCACTCATAATAAAAAATCAGAATCGGAACTCCTACATCCAGATCACACCTCTGCCTAACCCTCCATCTAGACTCGTAATAGCCATAACACCTCCTCACTTCCTGACCGGAGTCACCGGACTTGGAAAAGTTCACTCATTCTTGAGCAACCTTTTTTATTGAACATGTGAGAGATTCGAAGAACCTATCTACGATAAAAGCCACAATACTTCCCTTAGACCAACAACCCTAACAATCTTCACAAAAACCAACTACAAGCCTCGAGTTTGAAAACAAAAATAAGTATGACAAAAGAAGAAGTAAAATGGATGCAAATGCAACAATTAATAAATAATAAGTTAAACTTCTTTATCTGTCTTATTCCACCCTGCTCCGCTGCCTCCAAGTCGCGCCCTCATTAGAAGCCTCAATACTTGAGTGTCATCTTCCTACCCCTAGCAACTCGATCACTGTACTCTATGGCGGTGATTTAGGAGGGGGACAGCCGGACAGGCCATCTGAACCGCGTGCTGAAGAATTATTGCTTCATCGCCAACCTGCAGCTGTAGAGCATCCAACTCGCTATATCTCCTCTTTGTTCATGTCGTTTGAATGTTTGATGATGTGCTTCCCAATTCTTCTCCTTGTTTGTGCCTTAAACCATAGGACTATTGCCCTAACCGTTTCGCCTCTCTTGAAGGTCATGAATTATTATATATTGTATTGCCTCTTTTAAACATGGTATGTGTGGCAGCATCTAGCTAGTTTATTATATTGTCTCTTATACATTTAGTTTGAAGAGTTTAATTTGACTTTTTATATTTTAACACGGCATTCTCAATTTTAACTATCCTTTATTGCTTAATGTATGTATATATTAAAGGTAATGTTAAAAATTGGTTAATTTTAGAGAGAATTATTAAAAGCATGACTATAAGACTGGCGTTTTCTAACATACAATTAATTCACATTTGATCTTTCGAATTTGATGTCAATTTCACATTTAGTCCATATCTTTCACTTTGTCTATTTTTAAAAATATTAATTCTTGACCATTAGTTATGATCCTTCCATCCAATTTTCCAACGCCTTTTCGACGATTTCAACCGTCGGAAATATCGACAGAATGATCATATACGGATGAAAAGTAAAGGTCATGTATCAAAGTGAACAAAGTAAAAAACGTAGACCTACCAATTGCAAAATAGAGCAATACTTATACAATAAAAAATGGAATTAATTATCTAAGTTTTCATTCCTAAATTAATGGTGATTCGGATGTATGATGCCGGAGTATGTGTTTTGAAGCTACTCACATATAAGGAAAATTTCTCGGGATATGACTAAAATTCATTGAGTTTCTCTAAATATGACTAACTTAGTTTTTTGACATTTGCATGACCGAAAATCCAAAAAAAAGGAAAATCACGTTTAAATTTAAATGTTGAATGACGAAAATACCATTATTTAAAATATGTGTATTTTACACCAATTAAAATTACTGCACTAAATACTGCAGTTACTGCATGACATTACTGCACAAGATTAATGCACGACATTACTGCATCCAGTAATTATCATTTCAATTATGCCAATTTTAATTCTCTTCTCATTCACTTTAGGAATTTATTTATTTAGTTATTTTAGATTAAATAATTTTATTATTATACGTCTAATTAATTATAGTGCAAGTCATGGCGACATTAATGCTTTGCATTACTACACTACATGTCATAATCACTCCACTCCCTCCAATGTTGTAACATTATCTATTACCTTTGGATCAATGCACAACACACATCGTCAATGCATTTATTAACTGCTCATGTACAACATTATCTATTGCCATGTACAAGAGTGTCCATACTTAACACTTGTTGTTATATTCACTGTCAATGTTCATTGCAAATGTTTTATGCCCACATACCCTAATTTAAGCAATCCCTAATACTACCTTTGTTCTTAAATAAGTGTAACATATTAAATTTTACAATATTCACATGTTCTACTTTGATCACATTTTATTTATTGATGTATTAATATATTTTTTTGAAAAATATATTCTTAAATTTGTCTCATTGTAAATTTTTAAAAACTAATTTTTTTAATTTTTTACTAATAGAGAATTATATATATTAATGGTCAAAATTGTGTCTCGGCAAGTGTGAATGTTGACTGTTGCACTTATTTAAGAACGGATTAAGTACTACATATAAAAAACAATTAGGATTTAAACCAGAAAAAGAAGCTATTCAACGAGGCCCACTAAAACTGATTTTTGTAAACTAATTTTTGTCAACCATAAACGAACATATTCGTCTCTTCATCACCTCTGCTCCGTCTCTTCACCGTACAAGGGCAGAAGCGCGACAAGTGTAGTTTGGACAGCCGTCATCTTATATCGTCTCTCTGCTCTTCTTTCTCAATCGATGCGCGAACTTGATGTGCTCTATGCTCTTCTAGCCCAATCGATGTGAGCTACTGTACAGCGGGGGACGATGGCAGTAGGCGGCCTCGCGGCAGGTGCATCTTGGGCTGGGAGAAGGCTAGGGTTTGGAGAGCAGGGGTAAGATGTTAGAGTTTTATAGGTATAAGCTAAATGGTATATTATTTGTCCATAAAAATTATTTACTAATATTATTTATATATTACGAATTTTAATTAAATATTATGAATTTAAATATTATTTTGAGAAAAAACTAGTTAGGTCATAGATTGGAAAACTCATTGAGTTTTAGAGGGTAATTATCTCTATATATAAACATGTTTTAGTTTATTAATCATATGTTAAGATCAGATCAATCTCTAACTATTTTAGCCACGTATGGATAAATATCCCTTTACTTTATTCCATTGAAAATCTTTACAAAAACAGTGCAAACAGTGTCTAACAGTGCCAAACAGTGTTTAAACAGTGTCAAACAGTGTTCAAACAGTGCCAAACAATGTACTCTACAGTAAAATGTAGTCCTCAGTGACATTTTTTCCTTGATTTTTGACAAGTCAAACTGTGTCAAAGATTGTGAAAAGAAGAGAGGAAGTACAAATTATCATTACCAATCACACAACAACAGGTGTACAAATGATATACTCCCTATATATAAACCGTACGGCGGGCGGCCGGGGTGTAAAACAAACTAATAAAGGGCGGCATCCCTGACGGGGACCACAATTCCGGCCTCTTTTATTTCTCATAAAATAAAACAAAACATATTCATACATGTATGTGTTTATATATATATATATATATATATATATATATATATATATATATATATATATATATATATATATATATTGAAATTTATAAAAACATCGGAAACATTCAAATATAGATAGATGGACCATAACAGTGACAAGGAACGATGAAAACAACTTCCAACCCCTATCTCCCTGCTTCAGCTAGCTACCTCATTTAACACTGCATCAAGCACCATACCAATTAAACAAATTAGAAGTGACTCGCTAATCATTTTTAAATATGATTAAATATATTTTATTCTTAAAATAGAAATTGTTTAGTCTGACTAAAAGAGAAAGAAAAATTTACATAAAATAATACCACAACAGTTACTTTGAAAGGTTCATTAGTTTCTTCCTTTTTGTTACTAGTCAGCAATAACATATATCAGTGTTTTTGCTATTTTTAGTCATTAAAGTATTATGTGATCGACCTTTTGGTACACAATTTTGATTTTATTCATTTTCAGCCACTGACTATTGTGATAGAGATGAAACTTTTGATATTCGTTTTTGAAATTTTTTATAATTAGTCATTCGACTTTAATTTCATAAAGTGACACATTTAGTTGTTGACTATTATAATAATGACATTTTTAATCTTTCACTTATTATGTCAAAATCATATGAAAAAATTAAAAGTGTCAATTTGAGAAACTTTGAAATTGAAAATTGAAAATGTCTCGATCTAGCCCAATAGTCAAGGATTAAAATAAAAAATTCAAAAATTGAGTATCAAACGTGTCACTAACATAATAGTCGAGGAACTTAGATCAATCTAGATCAGACTTAAACAGAATAAACCAGACCAGACAAGATTTAAACTACTCCCTCCGTCCCTTAAAACTTTGACATCTTTCATTTTTGTGGTTTCTGTTTTTTATCTCTCCTCTGCACAAGTTTTTCCTTTATTATTCTAATGAATGAGATCATCAATTAATTACCTGGCACAGTTAGTGCTGGTGCTGAGAGTGTAGCCAATATTGACGTTGCACTTGCCGGGAACTGCGGCGATGCGATTGAGCTGATCTTTACTGTAGGATTTAGCAGCATTTTTCAAACAATTGCAGGCAGCCTGGCGGTCGGCGGTGGTTGAAGCCGCGGCGCTTAAAGTCTTTATGCCAACACAGCAAGATCCAGGCGGAGGCGCCGCACCAGCCCCCTTGACATAGGGTATGCATGGAGCGAGCTTTGACAAAATGGTGCCGCATGTCAGCGCCGCCTCCGCCGACGGCGCCACCACAAGCATGCACAAAATGGCCATGCATGCAACCGACTTCACCGCCATCATCTTACTTGCCATTAATTAATTATCACTCGGTATTACTTAGCTTATTATACTAAGATTTAATATCTACTTTAAAATGAATTTGGCGTATAAATATATATAGATTGCTGTGTTGTGTGTAAGGAGTTTATGAAGGAGGGGTGTTTATATAGGGGCTAGAGTACGCGTAGGGGCTCACGCAGAGACCAATCACTCATTCATCCCAAATTTAAAAAATACTTGAATTTTTAATTAATTTAATTTTCAAAATTAATGCCCTGGTTCTCACAGAGAGAGGCGTGGGATTAAAAAAATAGAGAAAACTAATAAATAAGCTCTTGAACTTTCATAAAAAGTGCAAATAAACCCTTTTATAGGAGTTTATGTCCCGCCGTCGCCATTTGAGGCGGTTTTCGGTGAAATTTTTTGATGACATTTTTTGAGGCTTCATTAAGTCTAGTTTATTCTACCAAATTTCAGCTAAAAATTTAATCGAGAAGACATTCAAATGAATTTTTGAAGATAACTATGTAGTAAGACAGCGCAATATATTTCAGAAAATCATTTGACTGCCTTCTCGATTGAATTTTTAGCTGAAATTTGGTATGGGTAAACTAGACTTAATGAAGAAGACGCTCAAAAAAATTTATAAAAAAATTCCACCGGAAACCGCCCCAAATGGCGACAGTCGGACAAAGACTCCTATAAAAGGGCTTATTTGCACTTTTTATGAAAGTTCGATGGCTTATTTGATAGTTCTCCCAAAAATACGTAGTACGTAGTACTACATTTCTTCCACCGACATTAGGACATGAGCAGCAAGTGCGGTTATTAAGAAATGGAGTATGAATTTATAAGAATAATGTAGAATCACAAAAATTATACCAAATTTGATAAGAAACAATTTTAATGAGACGAACAAAAAAGGAATGACAGAGAAATACTTCTCCCGTTCCGTTAAGATTGCCTCATTTTTTCTTATCGGGAACTCGCGCTAAGATTGTCTCATACCATTTATGTGGGTCAGGTAAATCTAAATCATTTTCACTTTATTCTTACTTTATCAATTCAATATCAATTTAGAAATTACTCTAAATAGGAGCAAAAACGTTTTGAAATTCCAAAATAGGAGTATCATGTAGGGGTGGGCAAAAGACCCGGTCCCGTTGGTCCGTTCCAGAACGTTCCGGTTCCATTCCGAAATTGTCCCGTTAAATTTGGGACAAACTATTTTTGTCCCGTTCCGGTCCCGAACCGTTTCAAAACAAAACGGGACCGGGACAAATAAAATATGTCATGTCCCGTCCCGTTGTCCCGAATTCAAAATTGTACGGAGTATATAGTTGTGGGTTAGTGAGTCTACCATCAATTCAAATACTAATGAATATTAATATTAATTAGGTATTAGTTATCTAATATGTAAAACACCTAAAAGAGTCTAAATTATATCAAGTATGAACTATCTTCTACATACTAAAAAGAAACTCACATATACTTCACATGTTTCACTTGTAATAATATTGTTTGTTTTTTTTATTTATTTTTGTAGTTTCTTAGTAGTATTGTGTGTGTTGGAGTTAATTGTTGTTGTTACGGTTTGTTTCGTGCAACTATCCTATTAATCTACTATTTTTTGTGTTGCATTTATCGTAAATTTTTGTATGTGTTGCATTTTTAGTGTAGTAGTTTTTGTCATGAAGTTTATTTTTGGAGTTGTGTTTTTTTCGCTGCAATTTTTTTGGGATGTCCTGAACCGTCCCGTTCTGTTCCGGTACCGGTTTAAAAGGGACAACCAGTGGCGGAACCAGGACTCGTGACTCGCAGGGGCACAATAACAAAGAAATGATATACTAGTCTAGAAAAAAATCATATGCATCACGAGTATAGCAATAAACAAAACTATAAAATTTAAATAAAACCACTGTTTTTGGAATGATCTGTTGCACCCATTAAATCACTTTGTGGAAATTTAAAGTCACGCGGTTGGCAAGGACCTTTTCTCAAATAACGTCTCCTCAACTCATCTCTAATATTAACATCATAAGTCTCAATCGGCATAACTTTTCTGTCCAGCACTTTTCTGTCCGAACACCGGTGTTTGGGGCGGTTCACGGCGGAATATTTTGATGAAATTTTTTGAGCATGTTCCTCATCAAGTCTAGTTTATCCATACCAAACGTAAGCTCAAAATTCGCTCGGGAAGGCAGTCAAATAATTCGTTGAAGTTAACTGCGCCAAATTATACATAGAAAAACGCAGTTAAGTTCAACAAATTATTTGACTGCCTTCCCGGTCGAATTTTGACCTGAAATTTGGTATGGATAAACTAGACTTGATGAGAAACATGCTCACAAAATTTCATCAAAAAATTCCACCCGGAACCGCCCCAAACGGCGGTGTTCGGACGGTGTTCGGACCGGGAGGTGCTGGACCTGAGAATTTTCCAATATATAAATAAAAATCACCGCAGGGGCACGGGCACCCCCTAGCCCTAGGGTGGGTCCGCCCCTGGGGACAACACCGGGACAATATCTTGTCCTGTCGCGTTCTGTCCCGTTATCCTAAACCGGGTTCGGGACCGGGATAGTCTAATTCCCGTCCCGTGCCCACCCCTAGTATCATGTTTTTTATTCCTTGAATATGAGTAATCTGCCAAGTTTGGGAAAAAATGTCATGTTTTAAATCCTAGTAATGTCAAACTTGACAGAAATTTACTCATATTCAAAGAATAAAAAACATGACACTCCTATTTTGAAATTTCAAAACTTTTTTACTTCTATTTAGGGAATTCTCCCATATCAATTACATAAATTCACTATTTTGAATAATCGTTTTATCTCAATGTTAGTGGGACGATGAGTAGCTTGATAATTAACGTCGGGTGCATGGTGGGGGTAGAGACTTGGACTTGAACCAATAAGCTTCAGATCCATACGACACGTATGGTGCGTTACGTCGTACGGATGACCCGGACTAATTAAGAGCCTGCCGGCAAATCCAGCCCTTCCCTTCGTACACAACTACACAAGTTTGATTAGCGTTTTTAATTTGATTAGTTAGTAAGTACCAAACATTACGTAGTATTTTTATGAAACTAATTGGTTTTATGCTTTCATAAAAGGTATTTTTAACAAATACGAAGTACGGAATATTATTTTAGGTGGTACTACGTATATTGTAAATATACCGTTGTTTAAAATTTAATATCATGACGAAAATTTAACGATGTCTAAAGGAAAGAAGAGAGCAATTTACGGATTAAATTTATTTCAATGAAACACGCTTTGAAAAATTTTGAATTAATTAAATTAGAAAAAATCATAACACATTAGATAACTTTAAGGTAGATTCTATGGTACTGAGTATCATACCATACCTTTATCCATTCAATCAATTATACTCCATATTATTATCAATCAATATAACTCTTATTATTATAACTATTATTGTGTATTTATTATTTGGAAAATGAATGTCTAATTGATCTGTTTAGAAGTAAAAACTTTAATTTGTTTATTTTAATAATTAATGATTTTTTGTAGTTGATAAGTTCAGTATCGTAGCAAAGGCCTAACAGACCCAGGAAGCATGTCAGACCCAAATTACAGCGCCCTAAGTGTCAAGCAGCCCACGACGAACACAGAGGTGCCTTCGCCCCCCTGGCCGAAAGCTCATAAACTAACGGTACAGCTTCTTTAAAGCCCTCAAAGTGTCTGGGAGGAAGCGGCGAAAAAAGGAGCCCTCGGCACTTAGAGCCCTCGGTATTTGGAGGCCCCGGTATGAAGAGCCTTCAGCCAATCATCTACGGCCGAAGGCATCTCCTCGACAGAATCTCCCACCCACATGCGCCGGATCACCGTACCAAGTACAAACGTCACATCCAACCACCGCATTTAATGCGGCCACATGCGAGTGTCAGTGCCACCCCGCTGAGGTGACCCCTCGACCACCAGAATGATGACACATGTCCCTATCTGGCATTTATTGCTACAATAAATAGCACCCCTTTTCCCCATTTGTAATCCAGGCTCAATACACTCAACGCATTCTCAGCAATATATATTCTCTCTCTTACTTTTGCTCTGACTTCTCTCTAGTTATTCCCCGCAGTAACCCCTCGGATAGATACCCCCGGGTACACTTATCCATCATTTGGTGCTCTCGTTGAGAGGTCGAACAATCAAGTAAGAAAACCTCCCCTTCAGCTAAAAAACACCTACTAAAATGGGAAGAACCACCCGTGCTCAGTCCAAGAACCTTGAGGACAACAACCTAGCCCTCGGTGAAGTCAACGCCCCCGGAGCCTCTAACAAGGCTCCCGAGGGCGGGGTCATCACTGAGTTGGAACAGGCTGCTGTTGACCTGCGCCTTCAGCTCCAACAAAACGCTCCTGATTCCCGCCTCGACATCGAAACTCGAAGGAGGGACCGGAGCGAAAATCAAGTGAGCCCTCCGGTTCTCACTATCGACGTACAATCGGCATTCTCTGCCTTCATCTAGACTCTCACTCAAAACCCAGGTGCCTTCGGCACTCTGGTACCCGTTCAACCGTAAGTAGGGGAGAACGTTGTTCTTCTCCCACGACCACCCCCTTTCGTGAACCCTACCCCTCGGGTGGGGAACGACGAAGGGGTCGTGGCTCAAGACACCGCTTCCGAGGAGGTCCAATCCTGGGACCACCGTGGTGCGAACAAAGAAAGGCCTCGGACCTCAGCCCTCGAGAGGCTCGGAGGGGCGCAAGACCGCCGAGGGGTCCAAGATCGCCTCGGTGGAAAGGCGTCCCAAAGACCCCAAGAGAGCGGGGGATCCGTCTCAAGAGCAGACGAGAGGCGTCCCCATCAGGACAAAGGCAAGGCACCACTTCATGCCGATGACGCAAGGCACCAAATCAATCAGGCCCACTCGGCCCGTATTTGTTCGCAGGGGGCGGAGGCCCTCCCGAAGGATCCCAAGGGCGAAATCATTGCGGCCCTCCAGCACCGGCTTAATGAGATGGAGGCTCATCGAGCGCATACCGCCGTTGCCACCCCTCATGCAGATCCGAAATATGAGGCCATGTTGGCCAAAATGGAAGAAATGCAGAAGAAAATAGCCGAAGGGTCCGGAGAACCCGTCATCCAACTCCGGACTAGGACGCCATTTACCCCAAGGGTATTGGCGGCCCGAATTCCGGAAAAATACCGGGGGCA